AGCTCACGTCCACACTGATGCCTTCGATCCATAGCGCCACGTCCTTCTTGTATCTCCTCCAGCGCGGCGGACTGCCGTCCCAGCTGGGGATGCCCTCCAGATCGCGGCTTGGCCACGCTGGCGCTGCTATCCAACTCGTCGAGGAGCGCTGAGTCCATGATGCTCCTCTGCCTCCGCTCGACCGCGGAAGAAACGCATCTGGCGAGAGCGTGCCGCCGCCCATCGCCGGATAGCGCTCTGGGGCTGATGCCTGCCGCATCGCTCCCGTCGTCGCACTCCGTGTACACGTCCAGGTAGTTCACGCTCTCGATGTCCAGCACACACTCGTACCGAAACTCTCCACGTAGATCTGATATTGCCATCGGCCGATGGCGCCCGCGCGGCGGCGCGCTCCGCTACCACTGCGGAACAGGGTTGGGCCTCCTCTTGACCTCCCGATCACGCAGCGAGGGTCGGCGGCGGAGCCCGCAGGGCTCGAGGTGAGGGTGAGGCCCCTTTTTTCCAGTCCTGCTACCAGGAACCAAATCGCCTCAAGCCGGCTCGAACCGAGCCGGCAGCAGTGAGAGAGAGAGGAAAGAGAGAGAGAGAGAGAGAGAACAAGGGGAAACATAGTACATAAGGGGCTTAAGGGCAGAGCAGGGGGGCATATCCAATCCGAGGGGCATGTTTTTCCACACCACCATCCATGTCAACAAAACAATACCGAATACCCTCTGCCTCCACATCTCGAACGTGCGCGGGCGTTCCGCGACACTTCTGCATCGGTTCTTGACAGGGACGGCGGGGGTGCTGGCATGCTGTTTGTTGCGCATAAGCTTCGCTCAAACCGACCGCCCCTTTCAGACAACGCTACTACATGCACTTTGCCTCCAAATCTGGAACACGCGCGGGCGCCCCGCGATCACTCGGCGGGCGCCCCCACGACCACTCTGCAGTGGCTTTTGACAGGGAAGGCGGGGGTGCCGGCATGTTACCCGATGCGCGCAGACCAACCATCCCTGTCATAGTAAAACAGCAAAACAGGATCCACTGGGTGACGGCTGTGCAGTGGCGCACCTCGCACGCACTGCGCGCGCCGAGCACGTGGAGGACCTGGCGCGGCTGGAGCACGTGGGGCACTTGGCTCTTCGTGGAGCACGTGTCGCACTTGCCGCGCCTCGCACGCTTGGGCCTCCAGGGTGCCTGGTGCACCTGAGTTCGTGGCGCACATGGCATGCGTGGCGCTCCTCGGCGATGTGCTGAGACTCGGGTGCTACTTATGTGTTCGGAGGGCGGGTGGGAGTGAACGAGACGGCTTGCGGTCTTGGGGGGGCCTCGACCTCTCCCCCTGCCCTGCCCCTCTGCTCTGGAGGGGGCGTTCCGCGGGTCGCTGGAGGGTCCAAGGATGGTCCCCAGACGGCCCCACAAAGGCCGCTGCTAGTCCAAAGCGGCATCCAAGATCGTACAATATAGCTCAAGATAATTCAAGACAGCTCCCAACATGTCTCCAACAACCCCCGAGACCGCCCCAACATGTCTCCAAACATGTCTCCGACAAACTCTTGCGAGGCGCTGCGCTGCACCTCCGCGAAAGAAACACACCAGAAACAGATCGCTTCGAACAGGGGCGCGCAAACGACGGTCCAAATCAAACACAACATCCGAAAACCGTAAACAAGTAACAAGTCTGCATAATTCAACCAATGTTCAATATACTACCTCCCCTGGCTGACAAGTTGCACCATCGCTTTGTGCAGTAGTATGTTATATCTGCACAGCCGTGCGCACAGGCACGAGTTGGAATATCCTCGGGTCCCTTGAGCCATCCCTCTTCAGTCCTGATGATTGACTATAAAAAGGGGCCCAGACCCCAAATTCCGAAATTGTCCGGGGCTTCCAGTATGCAATTCCTTCCGCATGCTAAGATGTTTCCCGCGTGCCAGGGCGTGTCCCGGCATGACTTGTTCGGATCCAAGGGGGCCTCAAAAGGACCAAGAGGGCACCAAGAGGAGCCCAAGACGGTCCGAGAGGGCCCGGGGTCGGCCCCAGAGCGCTCCCAAATGCCCAAGACGCCCTCACGACGGCCCAGGAGGCTCCCAAGATGCCGTAAGAGAGAGGCCCCCAAGACGGCACAAGATTTCCCCCAGGACCGCCAGCAGGCCCCCCAAGGGGATCCCCAAAGCCCCAGGAGGCCTCCAAGATGCCCAAATCAGGCCCAAGGGTCGATGGTGCCCCAAAGAGGCCCCCTAGAGGCCCCAAGATCCGAAGAGGTACCCACAGGCATCCAAGAGGCCTCTGACCTACAACCTAGACGCGGTGGTGGGATGGGCCGAAGGCCACTGGATACATGATACATGTGTACCACAAATGTCTGAATCGGCGTCTGGGGGCTGCTATTGTGGATCCCAGAACCGTCGAAACGAAGCGCCGGTCCTGGGGGAGGGGTGGAGATCTCCAGGGGGCTGGCGATGCGAAACAGCTCTGAGCAGTCGGAGGCGTGGGGCCTTCCAACCCGCGAGCAGAGGCGTGCACAATCCCGCGGGGTGCCCGTACTGAGGTCTGGACGCCGTGGCGACGCGGTCGAGGGGCTGGGTTTCGGCCGAGGGTCGGCGGGGTGTGGTAAGGATGAGGAGGGCGAGGACGAGGCAGCACGTTGCCCTCCAAGGAGCATAGCAAGCACGGCCCGAGCGAGCTTCTGAGCACAGGCAGGGCGATCCTTCGAGTTCGCAGTCTGGATCTCCAGATGCTCGGGCGCGATGCGGTCTGACACGGCAATGGCCTCGGCCATGTCCTTGCTGGAGGGTGTGGAACTACGAAGCCGACAGCCAGCGGACATGAGATGTCCAAACCACAAGCCATGGGCAACATGCTCTCATCACTTGGCTTCGTCTGCAACAGTATGTTTTCGTACATGTCCCCAAGCCGCTTCTAGCCGCTCTCTTTCGGACCCTGGCTACAGTCACCCTAACAAGACAACGCATGGGCGCAAGGACTGTGAGCGACACAACGTGCCATCTTGCCACCCTTCCTGCGACTCTTCCTCCTCCTCCTCCTCCTCCTCTTCCTCCTCCTCCTCCTCCTCTTCCTCCTCCTTCCCCTCCCCCTCCTCAGTCTCCGCCTCCTTCTCCCCCTCCTTTTCCTCATCCTTCTCCTCCGCCTCCTCCTACTCTTCATCCCCCTCCTCCTCCTCCTCCTCCTCCTCCTGCTCCTCCTCCTCCTCGTCCTCCTCCTCCTCCTCTTCCGCTTCCTCCTCCTCCATCTTCCTCCTCCTCCTCCTCCTCTTCCGCTTCCTCCTCCTCATCATCTTCCTCCTCCTCCTCCTCCTCCTGCTCCTCCTCTTCCTCCCCCTCCTTCGCCTTGTCTCTCCTCCTCCCCTCCTCCTCCTACCGACGCCGTGTCTTGCGTGCGCTCCACTGGCTCTCCAAGCCACGCCCCCAGAGCTTCACCTTGCCCTCCTTTGCCCTCCTTACTCGACCCCCCCCCTTCCAGACCCGTGGCGTCCTACAAAACCACAGGCACGCCAAGGTGTGTGAGTTCTGAACTGGGGCCGCCCGAAGAGAACAGCCCAGAGACGAGCAGACGAAGACAAACAAAGCACATGCGGTCGGAAGCCCCAGATCACGACTTACGCACGCACGAGTCGGAGTGGGAGGTCTGGGCATGCGATGGCCAGGGCTGCACACGTGCAGACAGCCCATGGAGGTTCAGCCTCGTCCATCCGATGCCCGTCCCCTCTTGGCCGTGGCATCTCAGCCCGGCACGCCCCCGGGTCTTGGGATGGGCCCCGCAACACTCACAGGGAACAGCACACGTCCACACCCATTGGGGGTACAACGGCCAGTGGTCGAACGTCAGGGCCCCGTAGACCCGGACACGCTGGACCGGGACACCCAACAGCTCTCGAAATCGGTTTTGCCAGACGGCGGCACGAACAAAATACTTCAGGAAGGGACAGAAAAAACACACAGACACAATGAATCGTCGATTCCCAAGGAAACAAAAGAATCTAGGGGAAGTGGGGGAGGAGACAAAGACCCAGGAAATACAGGAAGATATGGGGAATCCTGTTGTTTGTGTCTATTTGTTTGTGTCCCATGGCCCCTCCAATACTGCACTGTAACCTTTCCAGGATAAACCCGGGCACAAGCCGTACAGGCCTGAAAGACCCCCCTAAGCCTGGACACGAACCCGAACCCTGCAGCGCAGCAAACAAGAAATGCACGGGTGCCGAAAACTGTGACTTTGTAGGAAAGGATGTCGTTTCCTTGGTTTTCCGTGTCCTTGTTTATCTGTGTCCGATGCTCAGAGGTAACCCCGGCTGCCCTCAGCATGCCCACAGGGCAGCTGGGGGCAGCCTCAGGAACTGGCCGGTCGCAGAGCGCCGTGGCGGGAAACGCCAAGAAGCGGCGCCGGAATACTGAGACTAGACTTCGAGTAGGGGATCGGCTACAGAAATGATTTACCCTGAACTTGATCTCTTCGCCGAATCAACATGAAATGCCTGTAGTGGCCGTAGACCTGCCTACACGATGGGCATGTTCTGTGGGCTCGGCGAGGACATCCATCTTGGGGTAAACCACTCCTGTGGTCCATATCCGACTCGAAGCCTGAGGCCGCGTACGCTCGACGGTCTGCCGAGGCCGGCAGGGGCCACCTCCCTGGGTCTGCCTGGGCGCAGGCCCGGGGAGGCCGCGGCATGCTGGCAGGCCCTCCGCACGCAGGTCAGACACAGGGCCCGCGGCTGTGCGGGCCCGTAGAGGCCCGGAGCTCAGACGCGCCCGGCCGCCCTGAGTCTTGCAGCGAGGCGGAGGTCTGGGTGCTCCAGCCCGCGGTCGCCGCCGTCGTCGCGGTCGCGGTCGCTACCATCGCTGCCGTCGCCGCCGCCGCCGCCGCGGTCGAAGTCGCAGAGGTCGTCGTTGTCGTCGTCGTCGTCGTCGTCGTCGTCGTCGTCGTGGCCGCCGCCGCCGGCGCCCCCCCTCGCAGCGAGGGCGTGCCCGCGGACACGGCCCGCCGGGCCTTGGTCAGCACGGCGAAGCCCTTCTGCACCGCGGGGATGGCCACGTCGCGGGTGGGCAGCACGGCGAGCTGCGCCCTCGCCGTCGGGGCGCGCGCCGTCGTCGTCGTCGTCGTCGTCGTCGTCGTCGTCGTCGTCGTCGTCGTCGTCGTCGTCGTCGTCGTCGTCGTCGTCGTCGTCGTCGTCGTCGTCGTCGTCGTCGTCGTCGTCGTCGTCGTCGTCGTCGTCGTCGTCGTCGTCGTCGTCGGCGTCGGCGTCGGCGTCGTCGTCATCGACGTTGTCGTCGTCGTCGTCGTCGTCGTGGTCGTCGTCGTCGTCGTCGTCGTCGTCGTCGTCGTCGTCGTCCTCGTCGTCGTCGTCGGCGGCGGGGCTCCGGTCGCACCCCCCCGCCCCGAGGGGGAGGTGAAGGTGGAGGCGTAGGCGGAGGGAGAGAGGACGGAGGAGAAGGAGGGAGGAGGGGGGGACGCAGAGGAGGAGGAGGAGGAGGAGGAGGAGGAAGAGGAGGAGGAGGAGGAGGAGGAGGAGGAGGAGGAAGAGGGGAGCGAGGATGAGGGCGAGGAGGAGGAAGAGGAGGAGGAAGAGGAGGAGGAGGAGGGGTTGGAGGAGGCGGAGAAGGGGGAAGAAGAGAGGGGAAGAGGGGGAAGAGGAGGATGGAGATGAGGAGGCAGGAGCAGGCAAGGAGGGTGAGGGAGTGGACTCGCCCGAGGAGGGAGGTGGCAGATGCGGGCCAGCTGGCACAAGCCCGGGAGAGAGAAGGACGTCCCACCCACCCACCACGCCATCACATGCTACACGGATGCAGGTACACAACTCGAAAAAGAAGAAGAGTAATAATAAACGGCATAAAAGGTAAACTTTTGGCGCTCCGCGCGAGTTTCTTGGATCCGCGCTGGGCCCCCTCTGGCGGCGCCTCAAGCACCACCCCTGGCGCGCTCCGCGGGGGGCCCAGCGCAGATCCAATGAATCCGCGCGCAACGCCAAAAGTTGATGTTTATGTAGTTGTTTCTTTTTCGGCTAACACAAACAGGCGTCAATCCATGTCTGGGTGCCTGCCCATGCTGGATGGACGCAGGCCCGTCGCATGCGTTGCTCTACCACTGGTGAGCCAGGCCACGCTGCGTTGGATGGGCTCTGGCGCTCGCCAGAACGAGCGGTAGCGCTCGCTTTGGGCTCAGGCCACGCTGCCCGCATCTATGTGCGTGTGTGGGCCAATGCCCAATTGCGGCACTGAGTCGGCCATCGCGTCTACGAAGCTGATGCCCCCTGGCGATAGCAGTGGCCAGGATCCGTCTGCGAGTGCGGCTTACCGCGTACAAGTTACAACTTGACAACTTGAGGAGGAGGAGGAGGAGCGCAGCGTAGGAGGGGGCGAGTGTCTCCATCACGCTCAGAGGCCCCTCAGCCCCGAGCAGGCAGGAGCGGCAGCGGCGGCGGTGCGGAAGGGCGCACCAGGTTGTCCTGGTCGCTCGGCACGGGCTCGGTGCCGCTGTCGAGGAGATCTGGTGGAAGATGAAGCGCGGGCAGGAGCCGTCATTTTATTCAGAGGAGGAGCAGGAGGGGCGCACGCAGACGCAGCAGCAGAGCTCGAACGAGGAAAGGACGGGGGAGAGACAACACGAGGACGGAAGCCAGGAAGCGCAGGCGAGTCGGTGCGCGGAGCGAGGGGCACTGGGGAGGCGGCGGGCAAATAAGTCGCGAGCGACAGGGCGGGGGAGGTGCGCCGAGCAGCGGAGGTAAAAAAGACAGGCAACAAGGGATGGGCTTTTCCAGCAAAGGCCTCAGGGCGAGCAGGGGTGCTCGACGCCGAACGAGGAGTGGCTGGAGACAACCTCTGAGCCCGCGGGGTCGCCGAGGACGGGCGCCCCGTGGAAACACACGATGAGGGAGCCGCCATTCGCGAAGCACCCACGGAAATCGACATCGGCGGAGTAGCAGTCAGAACCCGTGGCGAGCGAGGGGAAAGCCCCGGCAAGGTCGGCGAAGAGCAGGGCGGGCGCGTAGAGGTCGGGGAAATAGGCGCCGTCGACAGAACGTAGCCACGACGGGAGCGTCTCACCGCCATCGACACCATTGAGCTGGGGACCTTGAACTCGCAATTTACTCGAGCCTGGGGCATTGGGCTCGAGGAGCACCCAAGCCCAGGACTTTGCGTTCTGATGTCACTGGACAGATGAGACAGCTCCTCGCAATATACTCGTGGAGCCTGGGAGGGCGGGCTCGAGGAGCACCCGCCACCAGGGCTTCGCGATCTGACGCCAGTTAGATAATCGGCTGAGACGCCACGCTCACAATTCACTCTTGAAGCGCAAAGGCCAGAATTTCCACCAACACCCCGCAACATTGGCGACGACTGAGCCTGCAGCAACGGGCTCGAGGAGCACCCGTGCACACGACTTTGCGTTCTGCCAGTGACATTGTCGTCGCAACCGTCACTATGTCCAGCACGTTCGGGCGTGGCGATCAGTGTCGACGGAGTGCCAGGGCTTGGCATCGTAGGAACGAGCCGTGGTGTCAGGCATGGTGACCGCCCTGGGGCCAAGCCTTCACCGTTCGCAGCAGCCAGAACGGCACGGTCGACGTCGGGGTCGTCAGCCGAGGAGGTGGAAAGATCATCGGTGACCGAGCGCGGCGTCGGTATGAAGAACGGCGGCGGCTTCCATTTCTTTTCCAGCTGGTCTGTTGGAGACGCCATTCGAAGAGTTCTGTCAGCAGCCCGGGTCGCAGAGTTCAGAACAGTAGGGGTAACCCACTCACGATAACGAGCTGTGTGATACGTAGTGCACATCACCACCAGCTCCTCCACCCGTTCCACACACGGCGCCGTCAGGCACAGTCGCTCATGAAGAAAGGCAGGAAGTGAGCGACCCAGTGCGCGACCGACAGCCCGAACCAGACGGTGGCACCGCATGTAGTGGCACTGCCTGTCTGCACAAGTGTTACACCCAAAGATACACCGCCGTTTTCCCGAAGGGTAACTTATTCGATAACTTGTGAGCCAAGCGGAGGCCCACGTCTTGATAACAGGGAAGACCCAGCTCGTGGGCAGCAGCTGCAGCAGCATCTGAATCGCCTCCCACGGCACCCGATGTAAGAAGGGTTCATACATGGTAAAGTAGCGTGCCAGCCTGGTCTCGAAGATCGCGTTCAACGGGAACGGTGTGACGAACTGCTCGTATAGTGCTGTGGTGGCTGCTCTCTGAAATTTGAGCTCACGTCCCGTGACCAACAGTTCCGAAGCAATAGCAGACGTACAACAGCGTAGGATGTCTGAGGGGTAGCCAGCACGCGCAGGAGCCCTGCCGCAGCCAGGAATAGGTCTGCAGGATGGGCGGCAGCCGCCAGTGCCGTCCAGCGTCACACATCCAATCCACCCGAGCGCGACTGGCCGCGAGGGAAGCATCATCAAACCGTCCCTGCAGTAGATCATCATTCCATGAAAGAGTAGTGTTAGTAATGTTAGAGCGTATGTGGGTGTGTTCGCTGAACGTAATGGTGGCAGCTCGGGACAGCGCGGCGGCGCACGTATGCTGCACGAGCGGGATCTTGGGGCCACCCCACGCAGAGAGCTGGGCCCAGCCAGAGGCAGACAGAGTACCCATGGGAGCACGGAATACCTGGGTAAGCACAGAGAGCTCGAAAGCGACCATCCTGGGAGGCAGGGGGAAGAACTGGGCCAGGTAGGACAAGACAGGGAGGGCTCTCGATCGGTAGAGCACGCCGTTGATCCCCAAGGGAGCGGAGCCGGAACCAAGGAGCCTGGCCCGTAACTTTAGTTTCACCCGAGCAGCGCCCCACTGCATCTGGATCGTGACGTCGGGCCCCAAGAGAACGCCCAGGTACATCAGGTGGGCCACGACCTCGAAAGCCTGCCATTCGGGAACAAGCCGACCGAGGAGAGCACGTGTCCTTTCCTGAAGGTCAGGGCCGAACGTCTCGTGCAGCGCGGTGACCTTGCATTTACTGACCTTGAGGCAAAGCCCAGTAAAGAGCCTCGTAGTAGTCATCACACGGTATAGCACCTGGAGCCCGCGAGCCTCGAACAAGACAGCCCCAATATCGTCCGCGCAGGCCCTCGCCAGGCCAAGTCCAGAATCCCCAAGGGAACATTCCAAGTCAGTCAGGAACGGGGCCGTGCTCAACGCGTACAAGGTCCCAGACAGGCCGCAGCCCTGTATGATCCCCGACCTCAGCCAATACACCGAGTGGAGCAGGCCACCGTGGGCCACGACCCCTTCTATCGCAGAGTACAACCAGGCTAGGAAATGCATCGCCGGGGATGGCAGGCGAAGGTGAGCAAGGAAAAGCATCATGAACTCCTGGGAGAGGCTCGGGAAGGCCTGGCCGAAATCGAACGAGACCAGCAGCGGCATCTTAGACGGGGCCAGCGGGTGGGCCCCAGCGATACGACTGAAGCAGTCTAGCTCTAAGATGTTGTACCCGAAGTTTCGGCCCTGAACGAAGCCGCGCTGCGACTGAGGGACGAGGGAGTCGACGACACCTTTAAGTGATCGGTTCACGGCAGACGTCAGCATTTTCAGGTCGGTGTTGCGAAGCCCGAGGACCCGGATCTTATCGGCAGTGCGGGTGCAGCCTCCAGAGGCCAAGTCTTCGTGTTCCGATCCCTTAGGAAGGTACGCTTGCAGAGTAACACTGGCCGAGTCGAAGAGCGACTGGCCACGCAAGATCCAGTCCATCATAAGACATAATACTTCCAGGCAGCAATCGGCAGCAGCCCACGCCGCGCACGGCAGACCGTCGACCCCAGGGGCAGAGTGGCGAGCACGAGCAACAATATTTCGAATCGTCGCTTTCGAAGGTGGTGGGACGTCAGGGAGCACAGGTGAGGGACACTGCTGTTCGATATAAGTCTGAGCAACTTCGAGATCGACTTCCGAGCGCGAGAAGACAGGACGCCAATACTCCGCGAGAGCAGCAACCCTTCCCCCTGGAGACTCAGCTAACCGAGGGCCGTCCCGAACAGCACGCAGAACCAACCTCCGTGAGAATGGGGCCCAGATCGCAGCTTGGCGCTCCAACAACTGCCGACGACGAAACGAAGAGGGCGGACGGGTCGAACGAGAGCCTGCAGCAGCGTCAGCAGCAGCACGAATCTCTTTTTCCAGGAGCCTCATATGAACTCCATCCGTCCACATGTGGAACGATTCAGGATGACGAAGGACAACTTGTGAGCCTCCGATGTCGAGCAGGCCAGCTGCGGTAGCCGAGGTCGCCACCAGCCGACGGGCGAGAGGAAGATCTGGACGCCATACTGCGCGTGCACATCCTCGGGCAACAAGCAACGCTGTTTCGTCGCCAGCAGGATGGTGGACAAACATCCAGTCACAAACTTCACGGGCAGCCTCTTTCAACATGTCCTTGAAGTGTTCCTGGTAGACCGCCGCAGGGCACAACGTCTCAGCGCCAGCGCCGTCTTTGAACATGCCCTCAATACGCTGCCGAAAGAGAGGGCTCTCGAAGACATGGCGAGGAACTGGCTGCTCAGACCTGGGGCGCGCGTGACGTTGACGAAGCACCGTGAGCAAAGCAGCATGGTCCGATATCATAGAGCGAGATAATTCTTCGGGTTCTCCGATGGTGGAGGATTCCGCACACATCTGGCACATCAGCCATCCAGGCACCGAGCAGAAGAACCGATCGAGGCAGCTGACCGCGTTGGTGTCCTTTGTGTAGTGCGTCGGTGACCCCGAAGAAATCTCAAGAAATAATCCCAATGCCCTCAGCCACCGAGCTGCCATAGCACGATGATTCCGAGGATCAGTGGCACGAGCTGGTTCAGGCCGCTGGAGGAGCAACGCCTCATCAGGGCCGAAGTTGAGGTCGCCCTGCACGATCACCAAGAAGTGAAGAGGGTCAGCGGCCGCACGTGCCCGCGCAGCGTCGATCTCCGCACCTATCTCGCCAATCTGCATCGCATTGAGACCATGGTTATGGATATTGAAGTGCACCAGCTGAAACCCCTGCCCGACAACGTCGACTCGAAGGACCCTACCTTGCACGACGGCCGAAGCATTGCTGGTAACATCGAGCTCAGACGCGAGCTTCGGTAAGATAGCGGCGACCCCTCCCGCAGCCGATCCCCCAACATCGGCGGGGCAAAACGAGGCGTGGACCACAGCACCACGATGAAGACGACATAGATAGTCTTCGAGTTGCAGACGATCTTGATGAACGTCCTGTAGTGCAAGGATGGACCCAGGAAGGTGAAATCTCTTCAAATATGACGACTTGAGTCTACTCTTCGCTCCTCGATACTGTAACAGAGCTCGAGCATTCCAAGTAATGAATCGCATCGATTCATTCTCATTCCCGCGGGTCGGAGTGTGAAAGAGCTGCATGAAGCCATCAAAGACACCACGTCGTAGGAGGCGGAGGGGCCGTAAGCTCATCCACCACTGCTTGGATGTCGGCACGCGTGAGCTTGAGATCCAAGATGCCCTCTTGGTTGAACTGCACGCTGTACGGAGCGTCCTCAGGGTTCGCCTGGATCTTGAGCACGTTGGTCCAACCGCTCTTGAGGATGCCTCGCTCACGGTCAACAGACCACCGTCCACCAAACTTGTCTGCACACGCACCACGGATCCGACGAAGAGCCATCTCCGTCTTGACCTGGCGAGGGGATTTGTCGGGCCCCAAGTGTAGGCGCCCGTCAGCGGCGGCACCCGTGGCCTCCACGTTGAACTCCCTCCACTGATCATTGCGACGAAGGTTGCTGAGCACCTTCGAGACCTTCCGAGAGGCGAGGCCAGTGGCCCCGTTGAACTTGATGAGAAACCTGCGAGCAGGTGTCGGAGACGGGCAAGAAAGGGTGTACTGGTCTGCTTCGAATCCGAGCTCAGAGAGGAACGGCGCCAGCACCTCGCGAACCTGTGACAATCCAACCATCTTGGTACACACCGCCACCACCACGGCAGGGTCCGTCTGGCGGTCGAAGCTGGCGGGCGGCGAGGGGGCCGCTTCCTGGCGCTTGGCCACCTGAAGCCCTTCACGTAGTTCGGCAACCTCGGCTCGTAATTGGTGCAACTGCTCTGTGTGTGAGTCCAGCTCGATGTTGAGAGTAGCAACCTTCCCTGTGACATCACCAATTTGTCGCTGCATCTTCCTGGACAGTTCGTCAAGCTGCGGTCGGAAGACACCCATCGCCTTCTGGTCAAGCTCAGCTGGTTGGTCTTCCAACTGCTTCTGCAGCACAGCCAAGGTCCGCAAGATGGAGGCGTTGCTGGATTTGACAGTGTCTCCCACTGTAGAGGCGACGAGACCTTCGAGCTCCGTGCGCAGCTCGCTGAACTGAGAGGCGACACCATCGGCGATGACGGCTTTAATATACTCGTCGGGGTAGTCATGAGCAGCGTGCCCAGCGGGTGCACGAGCAGGGACAGGACCTGCAGGGGAGCCACCAGCATGCACAGGAGCACCGACAGCAGGCTGATCAGAAGAATGCGCCAGCTGATCCGAGCGCCCGAAGACGAGCGCGGCACCAGCCGCGGCAGCACGGGAGGCCAGGCTGGCGACACCCTTGCCACTGCCTGAGGATCCCTTGCCCTCCTCGGTACGCGGATACTCGGGCTCAGGCGAGCCCTGGACACGATGGCCTTCAGCACGTTCATCATCAGGGAAGGTGGGCATGTCATCGATCTCCTGGGCACAACGGGCCAGCGCAGCGGCATCGGGAAGCCCCATTGCAACTGGGACGTTCGTACGCACAGGAACGGGAAAAGGCCTCCGTTTACCCGTGGGGTCGAGCGTCGGTGCGAAGAACAATCTCTGCCAGACCGCCAAGGGTCTTGTCTGCCGCGGACTAGCGGTATCCACTTGATCCACTGAGGAACTATGCAAGGGTTTCGTGCGAGCAGGGGGCGCGTTCCCAGAGGCATCATGGAGAACCCCCAACAGCCCCAGAGGAGGAGGAGGAGGCAGGGAAGAGGGCGAGGGCGAGCCCAAGGCCGTCGAATTCAGGGCAATCGAGCAGATGGAGCATCGAACCACCGTTGGCAGCGCCACGTGCGATGCACGCTGTCGTGGTCATGCGGAACCGAGCACTCGTGCACCATGCACTGCACCAAGATCTAGGGGGAAGCGAGAGGGAGCAGGCAGGAAAAGAGGGGCACACCGACAGGCGGGAAGGAGAACATGCGGCGTGTCTTCAAGCGATCATCCAGGCATGTGCTTGCGCAGGCGCCTCAGCAAGGCCCGAAGGCATCCCTTAGCGGCTTGGCCATGTCGTTTGAGAAGGTGACCAACATCAAGTTGAAGCTGGGAGCCCCAGTTGGGCACAGCCTGGATAGCCGTCGTCGTCCTGTAATTGTCCCAACGCTGTTGAATCAAGAATGTCTGCCACCACCGCTGGCCAAACCGTGCGATGACACAGTCGTCATCGGGATGCGGTTGGCCCGCGCCCCTAAAGATCCCGAGAAGCAACACCGCATCGAAGAACGAGGAGCTCGCCACGGCGGCCCGATACATAGCTGCACGGCATAAGTTGTGCAAATCGCGCGCTTCAGCAAGGAAGTACAATCCTTTCAAGTCTTATATCTTTAATTGTTTCAGAAACGAGGCGGGCATGGAGTTCCGAGAGGCCACGAACCAGAGACATTGCAGCTCCCCGTTCCGCCGCCAAAGTGTACTCCACGACCATGCAGAACTGTCCCACAATAATGAACACTGAATATGACATCTTGTTGCGCTGGGCTATGGCCTTAACAGTGCTGAGGTCGAGAGACCTCGTCCAACGAGTCCGCATAACAAACTTGGTAGTGGGAGCCTCGCAAGTCGCCTCAGCACCCTTGGGTCCAAAAGTAACACTCTGGAAACGCCCCAACGATCACGCTTGGCCCGCAAACGCCGCGAACCCCACAGTGGCCAGGTCAGCCAAGAACTGCTCTTCGGAGTGATTAGGTGTCGGTGAGGATGGCCACGGTCTTGTTGATGCTCAGGGCTGACCCGTGAGAGCGTTCAGCGAGCTGCCAAACCCGAAACGAGACAGCGAACGACTCAGAGAGGCTGCCCGTGGTGTTGCCCTCACCGTCGGCAAAGCAGCCCCGGGTGTTCAAGGTAGGAGGTGAGCGCGCGAGATGGGGCCGAGTAGTCGGCCCGAGGGCAGGGGCAAAGAGGCTGGTCGAGCCGTGGCACCCTTGCTTCCCAGCCCGAGCACAATTCAACCGGACGCCTTCGCACCCGTAGAAGCGGACCTGAACCCATACTGCATTATGATACCAAAGAAAAAACCCAATCAGGGCTATAGGGCTAGGGGGCTATAGGGCTATATGGCTATTGAGCTCTAGGGATATAGAGCTATAGGGCTATAGAGTTGTAGGGCTATAGGGCTATTGGGCTATAGGGCTATGGGGCTATAGGGCAAGCCCGGGCACCCCCGGGCACGCCCGGGCACCCGGGCACCCGGGCACCCGGGCACCCCCGGGCCCCCCCCGGGCACCCGGGCACCGGGCACCCCCGGGCAGCGGGCACCCGGGCGTGCAGCGAAAATCGGCGACAAACCGAACCTAACCATATGAATTCGCTAGGACCCCTACAGAGGCAAGCTCTGATTGGGGAATATTGCGCCCTGAGGGAAACAATCACGAATGAGGGCACCTGCGTTTCCGAGAGGACCCAGAAGATCGCGTCGCGGAGGCGGCTGGGGATATCCGTCTGGAGATCGTAGAGGAAATCCCGGTGCGCTCGTAGTAGCACTGGTAGATGTGATGGATGGCCTTAGCCTCGGCGTCATACACGCAGTTGAGCACTGAGCGGTTTTTAATGGAACCACGCTGGCTGTCAACGTCTGCTCGCAGACCGCAGCCACCAGCTTACTGATGACCATCACTGTAATTTGTTGCGCGGTGTTCGACAGACTGACGGGTCCGGCAGGGAGTGCGGGTCACCATGTTGTCGTCCTGAGGCTCCTCGCCCTTGGCAAGGAAGATCGCGTAAGCACAGATGTAACCACCAGGATGCCGCCCACGCTCTATGATCGCACACTGCGCGTCGTAGAGTGTCTCCATGCCCAGGGGCGCAGAGGACCGCCGTCTAAAGAAGGGGATTACATCAGGTCCTGGGGCAGAAACGGGTCCCGCAGCAAGCATCTCCTGGAACTCGTCAAATTGCACGTGCCAGCAAATGTAGGGAGGACATGTCTGGAAATATGGCCGTAGCTCGTCCAGTGCATCAGGGCAACTACGAACAACCGCGTGAAGTTCGCCCAAGAGCTGACCGCGAAGCTCCCCGCTGCGCCAATGATCAAGCACAGGCTGACCGTCATCTTCAACAATGCCCTGTGGTGGGACCCTTCACTGGGCTGGTGCCCAGCCGACCTGGAACAAAACAGATGGGAAACTTTGAACTGCTTGATGTGGTCAGGTAGTTGCTCATCGGCCCGGAGGCTGACGACGTGGTCGTCTGATTCGGTGACCTTGAAGTGGTTCAGATGGGGGTGGAAAGCCTCTGGGTCGGTCAGCGCGCATGTGTCGGTGTCATAGGAGGGGTCTATGGTGAGGCACGCGCGCAGCGCCCGCCGTAACAGCGTAACTGAGGCCGAGGGGGAGGCGCCGAGGGCCATCAACAAAAGCACCACGAGGCCCTCTCACCAACGGAACTGGCGCCAATCCGCTCTATGTTTGCCTTGCGCTTCCTGGCGGCCGCGTGGAGACAATAGCGGACCTACGGACCTCAGCAATGGCGACGAAGGGGTCCTCGCGAATGGGCCCAGCGCCTTCAATGAGCTCTTGGACCTACTTGGCAGAGTGGGGGTCCGACGTGATCCGCCTGGGGAGGATGGGCCGCATGGGTCGAGAGCTCCGCTTGAGGACCAAGAACACGGGAACACGGTCAGAAGGTTCCCTGAGATCAGCGGGCGATCCATTCACGCCAGATCGCGGGCAAAGGTGAAGCAGCTCAGCCGCAGGTACGGAGGTGTATATGCGATCCTGCCTACATGTGGTCTCCAGGAAAAAGCCTGGTACCGCCATCTTCCCGTGGTGTATGTCGCGTGGGAGACGGTGAGTGAGGAGGAGGAGGAGGAGGAGGAGGAGGAGGAGGAGGAGGAGGAGGAGGAGGAGGAGGAGGAGTGAGAGGACAAGGGCACCAAGGACGAGGTCTGAGGATTTTCCGTCTTTCGCCAGGCCAGTGCATAGGCCCCGATGAAGCTTTTCGCCGCCCCTATCCTCCCTCCCCACGGCCTCCCTACAATGTGGGAACATCAGCCGCATCCGCACGTGGTCGCGTGGTCAGCTCAGAACGTGCTCTTTACAACTCACCTGGCCTGCCTTACACCTGACGCTCATTGAGGCGAAAGGCCTCTGTTCACGCCCCCGTAGAAGGAAGGTGGCAAAATCATTGTGAGCGAGACTCGGAACAATACAACCCCGTGACTGCTCCTCATCGCCGCGTCGCTGTTGGGACCCAAGAACAGGTGCGTGTGTGTGTGTGTGTGTGTGAGTGTGTACGTGTGTAGGTAGATGGTTCCTGCACAGCCTGGTTTTCGCGCTCGGATCCGCCTTCGCGCGACCCAGGCCTCTTGATCCCAAACTGCTTCACGAGGAAACCAGTTCGAGATACACGAGCCCCGTTACTTACATTGCTTCGTGACTGAGCTTCAGCCGCGCGTCCGAAAAAAAAATGAATGCACATGGCGGGTTCCGAAAACCCGGGGCCCCTAACACATTGTCTGCTCTCGGAAAAGACGCTTCCGCTTCCTTCCGCTGAGGAAGACATGTCGACTTCGCTCATCCTCGAAGACGAGGCCCTTTCTGCAAAGCCTCGTATGGAGGGGGACGCACTGGTGGGTGCATCGCTGTTGGACCGACGATCCCCTTGCACATGGGGACTGGAAGCTCATCGAGGACCTGCCCTGCAGCCACGACTGCATCACGACGGCAGAGGCTCACATCGGGCGCGCGGGCCACGCTGCGCGGCAGGCCAGTGCGAATTCGTCCAAGACGAGGTTGATCCACACTGAGGCTCGCCCGAAGTCCAAGTGGCTGAGAATGCAAGCGTCTGCGTCACCTCCGCCACCTGAGCCGCAGCATGTTGCCGAGGGTGGAGGGTAGCGCTTTTGCGTTGCAGCCGCAGGCCGGCACGGCTTCTTGCCGGGGCACGGCCTCTTGCAAGCATTAGATATACTGGAGGTCACACAGATGTGAGGGATTAGTACCTCGCGTTGCTTCGCATGCGCGGTGTCCCTTTCCTAGTCTTCGTGCCTCACGGGCACTCCGACGTGGGAGTTCGGAAGTTCGAGACTCTACTCCGTACATTGCGGATCTCGTGGGTTGTTGCAGGCAGTTGGGGAACCAACCTAAGCTTGCTCGAGCAAACAGGTTTCCTTGAGAAAATCCGCCGGCCCTGTCGGCGTGTGAGCGGCTTGTCTGTTCGAGTCGTCGTCTCCGTT